GGGCTGTGTCCGTTCGTGTTGGATCTGACGCGTTAGGTCATGCCCTGGACCTCTCGGTATCATTTTTGAGCGTGACCGAACGCTCTGTGCAACGAGCGACCTGACGCAATGTGCAACGAGCGACCTGATCCTGAGCGTTGCATCTGGTTAGAGGAGACAAAACATGCAGTTGTGTGGACCTGACGTAGGGGCGCGTCCGTTTGCTCCTGGGTAGATCTGGGAGCTCTCTAGAGTTGACCTGACGCTACCTAGCGAGCGTCCAATCATTTTCAAGCAGCGCGTCTGATCGTTCACTAACATTCACGTAGAGAGAGCCGTTGGGCGCCAATGGCTATATCTGTTTGAACAAGACACATGGCATCCAGACGTTGACCGGACGCAGCGACCGGACACATTCGGTCAGTTCATAACAAGCCTAGTGAAGGGGTATAATGGCTAGTTGACTTGTTGGGTCTCTATTTAAGCGTGGTGGCTGGCTCTTGCTCACTCTCTTGGCTCTCTAACTTGTTGATACACCTTGTGAGCATACTCCCACACCTCCCACTCATCTAGCATGTGAATTGGTCATCCAAAGTGAGATTGGGAGTGATCCAAGTGCATTTGCATTGTGTTTGAGCATCTAATGTCACTTGGGATCGTGTTCGCTGCGGGTATCCTTGTTTCTCATGGTGGTTGCCACCACATTGATGGCTTGGAGCAGCAGAGGAGCTTTAGCACATGTTGGTGATTGTTCATGGCCAACTCCGGTGATTGTGAGGGGTCTTGTACCTTCCTCGGTGGAGAGCCGAAAGGTAACTCTAATGGATTGCTCGTATCATTGAGTTACCTTACTTGTGAGTAGGTTCTTCCGGTGTCCAATTGTGTGGATGAGGTTTGTGCAACACCTCTTAGCTGCTGAACCACAAGTGTTGGTCGACACAACGGGGACTAGCGTGCCGACAAGCACGTGAACCTTGGGAGAAAAATCTTGTGTCTCTTGTGTAATTGGATTTCTCTCGGTGATTGGTCATCTTCATATTGTGATTGGTTCATTCCCGACATGGCGGTATAATCACCCTACTCACTCTATTACTTTGTTGCAAACTAGTTGTAGCAAGCTCTTTAGTGTAATTAGTTTTGATAGCATGCTTAGTAGCTTAGTTTCATCTACTAGAGCTCTTTAGTGTAGCCTTGTTGAGAGCTCTTAGTGAGTGGTGATTGAGCCTCTTTGCTGCCTAGTGATCATAGCAACTAGAATTATTGGGTTGGTGGCTTGCAACCCTTGTAGAGCTAGAGCAAATTTGCATTTTACCATTTAGTTTACTAGCAAATTGCTCTAGTGAATTTGTAGAGTTTTAAATACGCTATTCACCCTCCTCTAGCCATATTAGGACCTTTCATATTTGCGACAAATTCTACAATAATTCATGGCATCATGTTCGCTCGCCAAGTATGATCCATGAATGGTAGCATAAGGGCAACTCCAATTTAGTGGTGAGCTGCCTCATAAAAAAGCACAACCATGCGTGCTATGTTCAGTATCGGTGTGAATCTTCTCTCTAGTTATATGTACTAAACCATCACGTGAGGCCGATTCACCTTCAACCGTTCAACAACTTGAAAGACAACGATGCAGGTTTAGGTTTGTGTTACTGTACACATATATGTTCATGCTTCAACTCTTCAAACCATTGTTTTTATTCATCATTGGAGATGCAACACACGGGTTGCCAAAGCTATACCAGGGGTGCCAACACACAACACATTCATGGAAAAAATGCAAAAACAATTATTATGGTTATTTTTTCACTATCCATGCACCCAAAGACAAATTCACGCATACAAGACAAGTACACCTCAAATTTTGCTAGCTTCGCCTATTGTTGTCTGGGTGGTTCTGCACCATGACCCAATAAAAAGAAATCTTTCCATGAACAAAACTAAGGAGACAAAAATGAAACAAATCAACACAAATCTCAAAGAAATATAGACCATAAAAAGGTTGAGTACAAACAACTCCCGATTAGATACAAAAGGCTAATTGTTAGCCAACTAAATTTTAGTCTTAGCCCATCGAAATAGGAGGCTAATAGGTAGACTAATTATTTAGCCAAGCCTCAAACTATTTGTTAACAAACTAGCGATGCTAATTTGAGCTAATTTTTAGCTCTCACTGATAAGTAGCCCTCGCTAATCAAACATCCCGTCGAAATGGTAACTATGTACATGTAATTTGGAGTCTTATAAAGTCATCTAATTTGGTGTAAATCATAATTTATGAGTCCTGACACAAGGCGAATACATATTAAATCATCCCAAGAACCTATCAAATATATGGAGTATTTGGTCTACCTCATTCCATGAACCAAAAACCATATATATATTTTGCAGAGAGGCTAGCGCCGGGATGTTCAGATGGACGCCCGTGTCCGGACGTGGCTCGCAATAATAGGCGGGAGACCACGCTGCACGTGAAAGGAGCCTACGCCGCCTATTTTTGCGCCCCACTGCGTGGACCCCACACTGCTTCCTGCCCTAACTATCGTGCTTGCTCTGTTTCATGCGCGCATGCAGGACTGCCAAACATCCAGATGAAACACTTGCAACATATGTCTGAAACAGCTGAAACACTTGCAAACTATATCTGAAACATTTGCAAAACACCTAAAAACCCTTGAAATACGTGTGTAGCCATTGCAAACATATGCAACATCTAGATCTACTTTTGTCACATCCAAATAAAACACTTGCAACATACGTATGAAACACCTCAAACACTTGAAACATAAGCTTGCAACATGCATGTTATGCTACATCCAGATGAAATACTTGAAACATACGTCTAAAACACCTGAAACACTTGAAACATATGCTTACAACATGGCTATATAGCCATTGCAAACATGTTCAACATCTAGATGAAATAGTTGAAAACATACGTCTGAAACATCTGAAACACAGCATCGCTAGCAACCACGGCCTGTTGCGGCAGGAAGCTCGGATCGGTGGTCGTGTGGCTCCCTATCGTGGTGTTGGCGCGGTGAACGCTGCCGCCACGATAGGCGAGGTGAAGTGGGGTGCAGTGAGGGACGCGGCACGATGTGGAATTGGGGCGTGGTAGGGGATTGCCACAGCGACGAGGTAGAGTGGGGTAGGCGGCTGTCTCAGTGGAGGCGGCTGTGGCAGATGGAGGGTGTGGTAGAGGCGGCCTTGATAGTCAGGCGAGTGGGAAAATGTTCTGGAGTACGTGCAACATACAGATGACATAAGTCGTGACCCCTGCGTTACCTTATGTTTTGTCTTTATGCCACGGTGGCATCTAAGCATGCGATGCTCATGACTTCCTCTCCGGGAACAACATTGCAAAAAAAATTGGAGAGAATACCCATACAAATATTTTAAACCACATAAACAAACAGAACAGTCTGCTCCTCGTGCACTGTAGAGAGTGCAGACTGCAGTGATGCGACGCCTATGTATATCGATGGCCCTGTTCGCTTCAACTTATCAGTCGTACCGTTTCAACGAAATAATAGTATTTTTCTCTCACAATAAATTAGTATCAGCATCAGCATCGACCATTTTTCTAGACAACCGAACAGGGCCGATCACCTCTGACTTATGTCCAGGACCTGGGACTCCTGAGCATCTTCCATTCCCCCAAGTTGAGGAGGCTATAGCATCACCAACTCTTAGACTATCTCCAACGTCCGGACCTAAAATAGAGACCCATATTAGAGTTTAGGTCACGGTATAGTAAAAAGTAGCAAACCCAAAACTTTTGATCTCCAACAGCGCGACCTCGAAGATTCCTACGGATGGATCCAACGACACTGCCACGGTGTCCACGGCTGCCCCGGTCTTCATGCCCCCTTCCCCCTATGCCGACTCCGGTCCTCTCCGCCGCCTCGGCCTGCCCTCCGCGCAGCGGACTCGCAGCCACACCGGCCGGTCCTATGCGCCACATGGTGCGTGCGGTGCAACGCCCTCGAGCAACCCCGGCCACACCCCGCTCTCGCCGCGGACCCGTCCCAGCCCCCGACCGGAGTTCCTCTTTCCCTCGGTCGAGCGCGTGCGAGCGCCAGCGAGCACCTTCGCCCCTCCCTCCCTCCCTCCGGCATTCCCTCCCTACGAGATCCGGCGTGCGCTGGGTGAGCGCCAGTGAGCACCTCCGCCCCCACACGACGCTGCTCATCACCGGCGGTGGGGGAGCGGGTCCAGATCCGACAAGGCAGCCAAGGCCGGCGGCTCCTCTCCGCACCGGCGGCGCGCATCCTCCTGCGGCGGCGAACATGGCGACGGTGCTGCAGCGCGTCTCCCTCATCTCGTTCCTGCGAGCGGCAAGGCACCCGGCCATGGTGGCCCTCCCTAGGTCCGGGTCGGCAGTGGGGGCGTGGCGTGGATCTGGGTTGGCGATGCGGAGCCCCCCTCGATGCTGGCCGCAGCGAGGCGGAGCTGCCGCGAGGCCGCCGTGTTGAGCTCCGGTCGTCCCCTTCCTCGTGGTGCTCGTGGTGGTGGGCCTGGCGGAGACGCAAAGACGCGGAGGGAGGACGCTTTTTTGCCTTCCGCGTCGCCTCCAACGCAAAATGCATGCTGTGTTTGCCTACTCCGTTGGAGCTTGTTTTTCGCGGTCAATACACTGTGCGCGATGCAATTTTGGGGATGGGTCACGTTATTGGAGATAGTCTTATCCAATGGATTCCTCTCTTGTCCTAGGGCTAATTGCCATCACCTTGCCCGTGCTCCTCCATCTCCTAACGAGGGCAAACAAGCCACGGTAGCCGGCCATGACCAAGCTACCGTCGGGCTCGCTGGGCCTGCCAGTGATCGGCTAGAGCCTCGACCTTCTCCGCGCCATGCATGCCAACATCGCCGAGCGGTGGATCTAGGACCGGATCCACCAGTATGGCCCAGTGTCCAAGCTGTCGCTGTTCGGCGCGCCGATGGTGCTCCTCATGGGGCTGGCGGCCAACAAGTTCATCTTCTTCAGCAGTGCCCTGGCGTTACAGCAGCCCTAATCCATGCAGATGATCCTCGGGGACAAGAGCATCCTAGACCTGATGGGCGCCGACCACAAGCGGATCCATGGTGTGATGGCTGAGTTACTCAAGCTGGACATGCTGAGGCTATATATGGGCAAGATCGACGGTGAGGTGCGGCGCCACCTCGACGAGTGCTGGGCCGGCCAGCGCATCATTACGGTGATGCCTCTCATAAAGAGGCTCACGTTCGACATCATCTCCCTGCTACTCTTCAGCCTCGGGCAGAGCCCGCTCCAGGACGCGCTCGCCGCCGACTTTGCATGCATCATGGATGGCATATGGGCCATCCCAATGAACCTGCCATTCACGGCGTTCCGCTAGAGCCTGAGGGCCAGCGCCAGGGCTCGCCGGCTAATTGCCGGGATTGCATGGGAGACTAGGGGCAAGCTGGAAAGGGGCGAGGACTCCTGGAGCAGCGACCTCATCGCATGCCTGCTCAGTCTGACTGACGACAGCGGTGCACGGCTGCTGAGCGAGGACGAGATCATGAACAACTCCATGGTGGCCCTAGTCGCCGGCCATGACACGTCTTCCATCCTCATGACGTTCATGGTCCGCCACCTCGCTAATGACCTGGATACCCTCACTGCCATGGTCCAAGGTGAGAAACCTAACTAGAACGCAGCGTTCCCATGTCGTCTTCGGTATGATTTGAGGTGACCACCGCCGTGGCTCGCGACGCAGAGCACGAGGAGATCTCAAAGAACAAGGGCGATGGCGATGCCCAGGACTAGGAGGACCTGGCGAAGATGAAGTACACGTGGCGTGTCGCGCTGGAAACCCTTCTCCTGGTGCCTCCTGTCTTCGGCAACTTCTGACGAGTGACACAAGACGTCGAGTTCGACGGCTACCTCATCCCAAAAGGATGGTAGGTGTTCTAGGTGGTGAGCGTGACGCATATGGACCCAGGCATCTTCCCCGAGCCGGCAAAGTTTGACCCATCTCGGTTCGAGAACCTATCAGCGGCAGCGGCGCCACCGCACTCGTTCGTTGCATTCGGCGGGGGTCCGAGGATCTGCGTCGGCATGGAGCTCGTCAGGATCGAGATGCTTGTGACGATGCATTACCTCATCGGGCTCTGTTCGGATGCTATTATAAGTCGGCTTATCAGCCATGATATAATATTTTTCTCTCTCAACAAATCAGCCGTACAAATCAACGCAAACGGCTTATAGATCCAAGATCCAGGCCCTCAATATCATCAAGAATCCAAGATCAAGAATGTGGGCTTTAGAAAGCAGATTCCTTGAGATATGTTTGGAAATTTCATGGCCACTTCATGGAAATAAAAAAAGAAAAAAAATTAGAGATACAAGTAAGGCAGGGGGCACAAACAAACTGAGGTTATCATCAGAGTTTCTTGCGCCCCCGGCCGAATCGGCAACCGAGGGCTCCGCTGACTTACCTGCCATGCTCCTTGTCATTTGCCAACCTTTCTATTGCTCCCGTGGGGATACATACAGCCTGATCTGCTGTGTTACATGCACCACCGACCGTGGCGGCGGCTGCTGCTGCCAGCGGTGCTCGTCTCCGTGTGGAACCAGTAGCTGCGAAGTGCGGCTAAGCGAGGGATATGACGGCCGGCCGTGTCCAAACCCTAGACTACTGGACTCACCCGCGGGATGCAACTACATAAGAAGGTGCGACCGTGGGCTGTGTTGTGCTGCTGCAGCTGCTTGGGCCATAGCCGAGCTGTTGGGTTGTATAGTTGCACCCCAAACAGCCAAAAAGGCAGAAGCGACCAGGCCCGTAAACTATACAAAAATTGGCAGTGCTAGCGCCCGAACATTCAGATAGATATGCGCGTCCGGACGACCATGCCTGCACATCGTTTCACATGCCCACATGAGCGCCTGCGTCGTCCAAACATCGCCCACGCCTCCTGACCCCACATGGAGACCGCTCGTGACCTCTCTACTTCCCTGCCCGAACGCCTGCTGTGGCAGGCGAGTCTCCATCAGCAAGAGCCGCTCTATTTTTAAAACATTCAGATATAAACATTTACAATATATATGTGAAGACTGATGAAACACTTGAAACATGCGTCTGAAACACTAGTAAAAACACCTAAAAACGCTTGAAAAGCCATTGAAAAACATATGCAACATTCAGATAAAACACTTGCAACATATGTGTGAAACATATGCATCATCTAGATAAACATACTTGCAACATACGTTTCAAAAAACATATGAAACATTTGGAACAGACGCTTGCAATATATGTGTACATTCATTGCAACATATGATATATTCCGATCTACTTTTGCAACATCCATATGAAACACTTGCAACATACCTTTTTGAAACATCCAAAACACTTCAAACATATGCTTGCAACATTCATTTTCAAGCGCAACATCTACTTGTTGTTTGGATGAATAGAGTCTCGTCGATGCGGTGTAGGGTCGGTCGCGCATACCAGTAGCATGCCATAGGCAACACCAGCTATGGCAATGTGCCGGCAGATATCCACCCCGACGAACGCATGCAAGGGATGGAGGGCGAGGTGAGGCGAACACGGATGTAGCGTGGTTGGCTGGGTGGAAGGACACCAGGGACGACTCACCACAGTTCTTGTCCTGTGGCAGCCATGAGTAGGAAAAAGGGGTGGCTGCAGGATTTGCTCGGCGAGCATGCACAGGGGGAACTACGAGCCTGAGGTGACGTTGGTGGAGTTAGGAGTGGGGCATGAGAGGGCCAGAAGAAAGGGAGCAACGATGACGTGGGAGCTCTTGTGGCAGAACTGCCTAAGCTAATGCCTCCTAGGAGTATTTCTCTTTCATTAGACAATAAGTACCCAAGAGAGGACACTAAACTACACAGTTCTGTCGAGCACATCCCAAGGGAGAACTCAAAAATCCACATTTTTCCATGAGGATCATAAATGAGAAAATAAAGCTTACAACATTCTCAAGTCATTTCTTACATCACTTTATTACAGTACTAGAATATTACCTCAATTGATTATAACAGCGGAATATAACAATGTTACCAGAGTTACAGAGGAAGCATGATTAATTTAATGAAATGGTGGAGCATTAACATAGTGGACATTTTTATATAAGAGATGCTAGCAGATTTTACATCTTTTCTTATAAAAACCTTTAATGAGAGTTATAAAAAACACTATGGTCGTAGCATTAAAAGGAACCCTCTCTAAGCCCACCAGGAGGTTTCCACACACAAGAGTATGCTCTAAGTATCCTCCGATCACCTGCAACAGGGGAAATAAAACCCTGAGTACTCGATTGTACTCAGCAAGACTTACCCGATAGGAGGAAAATAAAAGACTCCAAGGATATACAAGGCTTATTTGGCTTGTGGGTTATTGCATATATGGAAGCATTACTAAATGTGTGTCCTTATATTCAATTTTATTAGCAATCATCATTAGTTCATTAACTAACCATTCTATGTAAGCACCTCTGCTACTTTCAAGCAGGTGGTAAGCAATCAGAACCATTTTATCAGTTTTCAAGTTCTAGTTTTTACTACGGTGTGAGACCATAGCCAAGTCGTACTGTCTCATAGAAATGGTGATTCATGAATCAATGTATCACAGCTGGGTACCCCAAAATACATGCCCCGTTTGTACCCTAGGCACAAACAAGACCAATTCATTTCACTCCTGTCACGGGGTCCAGGTCCCCGGCCAAACTTGGACTTCAAGCCCCCACACTTGAGACACGATCTTAGTATGGTGCTTAGACCTCTACCTTTCCCCGCCTCCAATCAGTCGATCCAGAAAGAGCTGGAACCCATGACAAGAGCGTAACGAGCCTTCCCGCTCCCATAAACAAGTATGTGCTCAGGATAATAAGTCTGTGACCTGACTTTCATCCACAACAATGGACGGTCCTCAATCGACATAGGCGGAACAAGTGCAATCCGAGCCTCGCTCGGATGCCTAACCAAGTCTAGATTTAAAGTACCATTCCGCCCGGTCTTTAATTATCATTTATATATATTCCATGTGATAGTACTATAGTAACAACAATAATATCTTTCATATCTCTCACGAGTGACAGGTAATCACTCGACTTCTACCGAGTCCTATAGCATAACAATCTACATGATCCTGACGTACTAGTAAGACTCATAGGATAAGGATATATATATATGCAAGTGGGTTTCATTCAACTCTTTAAAACTTAATACACAAGCATAAAATAAAGTGCAGCATAATAGGGGTTATGCATCAGGGCTTGCCTAGACAAGATATAGCCAAAGATTAGCATTCCATTGGTGACACGATCTTTAAGGCACCATCTTTTCTGCTACTTTGGTCGACTCCATGATCCATCGTTGTTCCTATTATGATATACGTGGATGCAATACAGAGATGTAAATAATCAACGGCAATTATAACTCTAAAATATGATTACACTCCGCAAGCTAACGAGCTAGCTTTAATGACTAACGTACTAGTCTACGTATCCACGTCGTCAAGCAAGGCTTCGTTTTTGGAAAAATGTTCTAGTTTTAAAATCCCAAGGTGTTTCGGTATTTTATTGATTAAACATATATTTTTGAACTAGGACTCATTGAGCTACCTTACCAAACTAATTATTATGGAGCTACAAAAATTACAGTGAGCACCTAATAATGTGAGGAATTTAATGTGAAAGTTTCAGAGCCAACACTATCACCAATTTATCACGACAATTCCTATAAGTTTATATCTTACAATATTAAGCATATCAAATTAATTAGATAACTCTAGAAAATATTATAAAACTATGTGAACAAAATATACTAGCAGATAGATCGTGATTTTAGGAACCTAACAAAATTGGTTTCACAATTTTTGACCAACTACACAAATTTCTATTGAATTTACAAGTTTACCTTAGAAACTAAATTAGAAAATGCTTTAGAAAAAGAAAAGGGCCGGCAGTAACCCATTCTGGCCCGGCAGCCCAGCGGCCCAGCGAGGGCACGGTTGCCGCGCACGTCGCGATGGCCCAACATGGCCCAAGGCCGGGAGGCCCGCGTGCGATGGCGGCTTTGCAGAAAAGCCCCCGTGCTTTTAGATAATAACATGACTACTATGCGCAATATTCCTACCATCAGTAATCTTGCAACTATACCCTCGGATATTTTCCTTTACCACAGGGAGGTCCCTGGGGATCCCCTCGCGCGCCGACACGGCGGCCGATGGCATAAGGCGGTTACGCCGGGCAACCTAGGCGTGCTACGACGGGGGTAAGGGGCCGACCACTATCTACAGCTAAAAGCGTAAGGATGGGTGGTGGTTAGGGACTCGGAGGCACACTGTCGCGGGTTGCATCGGTGAGCGGCTATCCACGGCGGCGGCGT